GACAAAGTTAAAATTGCATTAATGCATTCGGTGCGCAAACAAACTGTGAAAACTGTTTGCGAACTGTGCAAGTAATTTGCATGATTGTATATCCGCAAATAATTTTGCTTTTTACGAAAAATCGACATATTCATTATTGTTGAAAAAGAGATTTTTCCTGAAGATATTTTTTTTTTCTATTTTCTTAATCCTGCATATTAAGTATATTTTACTTTCTCACACATGTGGTATTTTATGCAGAATTTAAGGATCGTCATGAAGTTGTGTACAGAATATTTCAAGCGAGCTTATACAGAGTGTTCCAAAAATCCCGGACCGATCGAATATTTCATAAACTATGCACTTTAGAAAGAAGTGTTTCAGACAAAAGTTGTATGGCTTGAAGGGGGCCATCAGATAGTGGCAATGATTTGACATGGGAGAGTCATTTAAAAGTCACGTGAAGATCACCGTCAATTTCTTAAATGGAATTCCCTATTTTTTATTACATATTCTAGTAGCTTACATCGAGAGCTTTCCAAAACACTATAATTAAATTAGTTTCCATTAAGTACTTTCCGAATTATGAGGCTTGAAATCATTTCTTAATTTTACATAAACCGTAAAATATCTTGTAAAATATTCATTTTTCGATTATCTTACCTTAATACTTTTATGTACAAAATAATGAGAGGAATCAATTGGTGTAAAGAAAAAACATAGTTGTTTTTACGAAAAAAATATGTAATTTGCAATTAATTACATATTTTTTTTAAAACAACTATGTGTAAAAAAATAGGGAGTTCCATTTAAGAAATTGACGGTGATCTTCACGTGACTTTCAAATGATTCTCCCATGTCAAATCATTGCCACTATCAGATGGCCCCTTTCAAGCAATACAACTTTTGTCTGAAACATTTCTTTCTAAAGTGCATAGTTTATGAAATATTCGACCGGTCCAGGACTTTTGGGACACCCTGTATAAAAGCAATTAACTGTCTGTTTTATATAAAATCATGATTATAATTCTGTAATAATTATGAAATTAATTTCTTGAATCTATCGCACGCGACAATTTTCGTCATTTTTTCACGAGGAATTAGTAGCGTAAAAAACATAGACCGCAATGAATAATTAAAATTTCCACAAAGAGTTGCCACATAAATATTATGAAATATCAGTCACACATGTGTACTTATCAGCAAAATAGACTCGTTTATCAAACCGCGACAATGGCGCACCGATATAGTACAACAAATTTGTTCTGAATCATATTCTAGTTCAATAAATCTAATCATGTCTATTTTATCGCGGTCAAACCTACTTACATTAATTCTTGTTCTCTCTTTTTATCTCCTTTCATCATGATATAATATAATATACATAATATAATATAATATTCATAATATAATATAATATACTTGACTGTACAAAACTCTCTAATAATATTTTTAATATTTTATTCCTTTATATTCGATTCCTTTTCACTTATATTTCAATGTTATTTTGCAAAATTAAAAAACCGAAAATTTTTGCGAGCTAAAATGAGAGAGAGAGAGAGGGAGGGAGGGAGAGAGAGAGAGAGAGAGAGAGAGAGAGAGAGAGAGAGAGAGAGAGAGAGAGTGGGAGGAGGGGGAAAATGTCTCTTCTCTTGCTCTTGTATCACCATGATAAACACCGATAGCGGATCATAAATTAAGCTTTAAATTGTATCCTGCATTAGTTTAATTGAAATTCAAACGACGATATTACACGCGTGACCGATATCTCAAATTGCGATTTAACTGAGATTTACGTTAACGATATACTGGCTGATGCTACTAAAGTACACGACTGACCGGTAACACCTCCTTACGACATCGTACTTGAAATCGTTTTCGTGCAAAGAATATATAAGTTGTTGAGTTATTTCACAACAATATAATTTCTTTGCACATGTGTATTGTTAGTTTTATATAAAAATACACAACACGTAAAAGAAGAACAGTTATCTCTTTTCACTTTTATGTAATTTATATACCCATACACATACGTATATTGAATGCGTCTGGTAACCGGTAATAATAAATCGAGTGAAGAAAAATATGAACGTGCGCTTTTCTCAAGTACTTCAAGTACTTCGCGCCATCGCTTTCGATATTACGTATCGACTATATGAGAAAGTGGATTCAAATACTTTCATCGCGGACACATCGCTTTCATATTGCATTAATTCGTCCATAAATAAACTTGAAAAATAATAAAAGAATACTAGCACAAATACGATTAAATAATAAAAGAATACAAGCACAAATACGATTAAATAATAAACGAGATGATGATGATGCAACAAATATGTAAATCTGCAAAATTGTGAATCGAGAAACTGAATATTCTCTTTGGGGTATACAGGGTGGACTAAAAGTCTGGATACCACAGTCGAATATCTCGTATAGAATACATTTTAGAACAAAATGCTTTAGACGAAAGTTGTAAGGATTAAAAAGATGTATTTAACTGTAATATCCATTTGACATTGAGCGTCGTCGCCAAAATCAGGGCAAGGTCAACTTGAATTTTTTTAATGGAACCCCCTATTCTTCATTGCATATTCTTGTAGCTTATCTCGAGAGCTTTCCAAAATACTATAATAACGTATTTCTTCATTGAATACTTTTCGAGTTACGAGGCTTGGAGTAATTTCTTAATTTTACATAAATCATAAAATATCTAGTAAAATATTCATTTTTCGATTATCTTACCTTAATATATTTATGTACCTAATATTTTATGTACAAAATAATGAAAGAAATCAATTGATGTAAAGAAAACACATAATTGTTTCGAAGAAAAAATATGTAATTTACAATTAACAATTACATATTTTTTCTTCGAAACAATTATTTGTTTTCTGTACACTAATTGATTCCTCTTATTATTTTGTACATAAAAGTATTAAGGCAAGATAATCGAAAAATGAATATTTTACTAAAATTAAGAAATTACTTCAAGCCTTGTAACTCGAAAAGTATTCAATGAAGAAATACTTTATTATAGTGTTTTGGAAAGCTCCCGAGATAAGCTACAAGAATATGCAATGAAAAATAGGGGGTTCCATCTAAAAAATTCAATTTGACTTTGCCCTGATTTTGGCGACGCCACTCAATGTTAAATGGTTATTACAATTAAATACATCTTTTTAATCCTTACAATTTTTGTCTAAAGCATTTTGTTCTAAAATGCATTCTACGAGATATTCGACTGTATCCAGACTTTTGGTCCACCCTGTATATCATCGAGTACATAAAATTCGGTACTTAAATCCAAGCTCATCCACGAGGACATTTCCGAAAACTACTCGCATTCATCAGGATTATGTCTTTGTTAATGCAACGTGCACGAAATTTCGAAGCAGAAACCGAGTGACTTGATCGAAAGCGAATAATAACTTTCGTTTACTCTCTCTCTCTCTCTCTCTTATTTTTTTCTCTTTTTCTCTCTTACTCTCTTTCTTTCTTTCTCGTTTCAGTTTGGTCTTATTCCCGGCCTTGATCGTTCCAGCATGGAGCAAGGACCGAAAAGAAAAATAAAACAGAAGCCAATCGTAGCTACGAGGATAGAAAACGAAATGAAATCGTACGTGAAGGCATCGAAAATGAAAAGTAACTACATTTTTTAGATACTTATCACTTTCCCGTCTAAGCCAAAAACATATATATTGCAATTAATGAGACTCAATTCGAAAGTGTTTTGTGATGTTATTTCGAAAGCACCATCTTTCGCATCATTCCTCGTTTTTTTTATAAAAAAAACATATGAATATATTTTTTTTATATGAACATCATTAGCTCAAACTTATTAAATTGCCAACTGTTCCATAAAACTGTTAAATTCATCAAAGCTTATGAGCTTGTTGCGAACGTCTGCATATTATATACATATATTTATATATTATTATACATATATTTATATATTATTGGCATTAAAATTGAAAATAGTTAGATAAATATTGCACATGTAAATAAAGGAGGTGAAAAGATATATAAATAAAAAATGTTTCTTATTGACCGTTTAAATGACACTTGCTTCATATTTGAATATTATTTTCGATGATTTTAACTTATCTTTATTTGAGATTTTCTTATTGTGTTTCTGCTGTTTGTTAATAAAAAATTATAAAAATTGATCTTAAAATATTGATGAAAGTAAATATATTAATTTTATTATGAAGGTGTATTGACATTAAATATAGACTTTCAATCATTATAATCATGATAAAATTAACTTGAATCAAATTAGTATAAAAAAAAACTAGAAATCACAGAGTTGACAAAATTCCATATTTTTTTATCAAATCTATGTCAATAAATAATAAAAATCGGCTTCTAGATAAAACCGGCAAAAATTGGTTTTTCCTACAAAAAAAATATTAAAATAAATAGAAAACCTTTTTATCGATACTCATCAATTAAGAGAATGTTTTCTAATTTAAGTTTTTTATCTAAAATAAAATCCTAAGTAATAAATAAAAATCGACAGAACAAATAAATTAATTCTTTATTAGAAGACGCCGAAAAGTAAGCACGAAGATCAATATAGAAAAATTTATAAGAAAATTTTTAATTCTATTTACTATAACATTTTTCTTATTAAACTCCAGAAATTAATATAAAATTTAGTAATATTCATATAACATTTTCAAAGATGTTTTTAAAGATTTCATATATTAATTTGAATTAAAAAGGACTTTATTATTAAATTAATTTTATTTCCTTTAAACTATAGTGATTGATATGATTTATTAATTAAAGCAAAAATATTCATTCGCATAAATATATTATCATATATTAATTTTATTTTATAATTTTTATCGATTTATTCTCTAAAATCCAGAACAGTAAAAATTGGAATTTATCTCCCGTTCACCGGACTTTTCCGGATTAATCGAGAAACTGACCCAACGAAGAGGGAAGATAATCGATTCGAAACAGTGTGACATTTAAATGGTCAATTATGAGAAAAAGGGAAACGGGCCACTCACCCTCGCAGAACTTCTTGGAGAAGCCGAACGTCGCCGCCGGTCGCCTCCATCCTCGCCAATTGTTGCAGAGGGATTCGGGCTCGCTGCTGAAACTGCACAGGGAGTCCTCCTCGAAGCGGTCCGAGTCGTCGAAGGAGAAACGGTCGTTCTCCTCCCACTCGATTAAATGTCCGCCGGCCGGGCCAGCGGCCTCGTCCGCGACGATTCCGGGTTCGGCGGCGGCCCCGGCCGCCCCCGCGTTCCTGGCAGACGCTCCGCCGGCGGCCCCGCCGCTTCCACCACTGGCCCCGGTTCTACGTCCCCCGCCTCCCCCGCCGCCGCCGCCGCCGCCGCCGCCGCCGCCGCCGCCGCCGCCGCTGCCGGACGACCGAGCCAGGTTGCCCGCCAGTTTTAATAGCCGTGCGAATCAGCACACGCGACACCACGAGCGCGTCCTCGACGGTCACCTGCCACGACGACGGTGGTCTCCGACGACACGACGACGAGTCTCGCCAAGGGGAAGGCTGCATCCGAGAAACGTCACACACAAATTTCGATATAAACGTTACTCACTCTCTTACTCAACATCCTTTCCGCCCCCGACTACGGTTTCCAGAACGACGATGAGACGTTCGAGTTACCGATTAATGACGCGAAGGTCGTCCGCGAGGAAACGTCCTTCCTCGGGACGTTCCTTTCGAAATTGAGTCGCGGCAACTGTCGCGATGTTTATCTACATATCGGTCTTACTTGTACTCGTGTATGGATAATATTTATCCCAGACGATCCCTTTCACGAGGAAAAATGTAATATCGAGTAGAAAGCTTGTCGATATAGTAATAATAAATTGATAAAGAATAATAAATTAAATAATAAATGAATAATATAATAAATTAGTTTCGAAAATGTGGATTTGATATCATTAAGGATGTTTTATACATATTTCCAAAATATTGAGAATTTAGTGAAAATTGTACAGAATATCCTTACATATGTTTAGAATCTTCAGTACAATTTTTAAATCTATTCACTAAAGCGTTCTCTCTCTCTCTCTCACAAGTTATAAGGATTTTATTTTGCACCGAATTAACATATGTTCTTATGGGAAACGTATAACCACGTTGATTCAAATGATAAAAACACATGGAAATAATATTCAGAATTTGTTTAAAATTTGCAAAAGTTTAGATACAGAGGAAATATTTGGTCAAATAATATTATACAAGTACTAACTGGTTAAAAAGATATTAAATATAATTCAATAAAGTTAACCATGTATCTGTCACAAGGCGAAATTCTCTGCTAATATTTAATCATTTCGATTAAGGATGTTTTGTATCTATTTTCAAAATATTGAGAATTTAGTGAAAATTGTACAGAATGTCCTTACATATGTTTAGAATCTCCAGTACAATTTTTAAATCAATTCACTAAAGCGTTCACAAGTTTTAAGGATTTTATTTTGCACCGAATTAACATATGTTCTTATGGGAAACGTATAACCACGTTGATTCAAATGATAAAAACACATGGAAATAATATTCAGAATTTGTTTAAAATTTGCAAAAGTTTAGATACAGAGGAAATATTTGGTCAAATAATATTATACAAGTACTAACTGGTTAAAAAGATATTAAATATAATTCAATAAAGTTAACCATGTATCTGTCACAAGGCGAAATTCTCTGCTAATATTTAATCATTTCGATTAAGGATGTTTTGTATCTATTTTCAAAATATTGAGAATTTAGTGAAAATTGTACAGAATGTCCTTACATATGTTTAGAATCTCCAGTACAATTTTTAAATCAATTCACTAAAGCGTTCACAAGTTTTAAGGATTTTATTTTGCACCGAATTAACATGTGTTCTTATGGGAAACGTATAACCACGTTGATTCAAATGATAAAAACACATGGAAATAATATTCAGAATTTGTTTAAAATTTGCAAAAGTTTAGATACAGAGGAAATATTTGGTCAAATAATATTATACAAGTACTAACTGGTTAAAAAGATATTAAATATAATTCAATAAAGTTAACCATGTATCTGTCACAAGGCGAAATTCTCTGCTAATATTTAATCATTTCGATTAAGGATGTTTTGTATCTATTTTCAAAATATTGAGAATTTAGTGAAAATTGTACAGAATGTCCTTACATATGTTTAGAATCTCCAGTACAATTTTTAAATCAATTCACTAAAGCGTTCACAAGTTTTAAGGATTTTATTTTGCACCGAATTAACATGTGTTCTTATGGGAAACGTATAACCACGTTGATTCAAATGATAAAAACACATGGAAATAATATTCAGAATTTGTTTAAAATTTGCAAAAGTTTAGATACAGAGGAAATATTTGGTCAAATAATATTATACAAGTACGAACTGGTTAAAAAGATATTAAATATAATTCAATAAAGTTAGCCATGTATCTGTCACAAGGCGAAATTCTCTGCCAAAAGTTAATCATTTCGATTAACAAAATTCGGAATATTTCAGTAAAAACGCAATAAATATTAAAAAATATTATACATTTCTGCACTGTAGCTAAGATCAAATTGTAATATTCCACACAATTTCTCATACTCAAAATACATCAAAAATGGATATATCTGTCAATATCGATTTTCAGCTTCTTTTTGCTGAGTTTGTACATACAAAACATCCTTTAAAAAAAATCGTGAATATTTCTCAATCCCGTTTAATTATTTCTCATAAATCAAAGAAAATTGGAATGAAAGCATGTAAGAGAAAGTCGATTATAAAGTACACATTTCCAGCGTAATTCCATATATTAATCGAACGATGTATGATTTGGAAGAAATAGACTAGAAATTAATCGTTATTGAAAAACAATAAAAATAAATTATTTAATTACAATAAAAATAAATAATTTAATAATAATAATTACAATAAATTATTCAATAATAAAATTCCTAAAAATTATTATTTAACAACAATAAAAATTAATAAATTTATTAACTGTTACTCATTATATGGCTCGGGAGAAATCGAATAAAAAAATTTAACTCCCAAATTTATAAAGTAAAAAATCCACATTTCCGACAGAGATCGAAACGAAAATAATTGCAATTTCATATTACCGTTGAATAATTTGTCAGCCTGAAAATTCGAAAAATATTTGCGAAAAATAAAACTCGACGACGATTCTCGATGAATTTCCCGTGCACAAAAGACGATATATAACCGACGATCCTCCGTCACGCATCACTTCAAGCGCGATTCAAAAATAAGGTCACGGAAATCAACAAGTTTTTCGCGAAACCTCGCCGCGCGCATCGATAACACACGCACGCTTCAACGTCAACCAAGTCTCGCGCATCCCGCGAGCTCTCTCGCTCGCGGGAACAGCTGATTCACGTTACCTCATAGATACGTATTGATTTTTCCGCCGCCGGAACGCGAGGCCCCCCTCGTTAAGCGCGAATACCACGCTCGTCGAGGAACGAGGGAACGCGAAACGTCAAACCTCGGCAACGCTCGCGCGAAGCTCAAGAGACCGATCGTTGGACTAGGTTAAGACGATACGACGCGCCAAAGCGTGTTCAATCCCGCCGACGAGGGGAGAGGGGAAGGGGGGAAGGAGGGAGGACCCGGGACAACGGACGGGCGCGATACATCGATGACGCGACGAAGCGATGAACCGCAAGGACCTTGGCAGGTCGACAGACCCGCGCCAAGAACGTGCAACGACCCCGACACCGTGCAACCCCTCCGTCGTCGTCCCCCCTCCCCCTCCCCCCCTCGACGGCGTCGCGCTCTTTCTTACGCCTAACCATCCCGCGAGAAGCCCAGACAGCGCGTAAAGGTTGTCTCGAAGATGTCTAAAGGACGTCTTAAAGATGTCTAAAGGACTTTAAGTCGTCTTTAAGTCGTCTTTTAGATGTCTTTCGGACATGTGTGCTGTCCCCATACAAATATATTTATAGGAACGCGCGGGCGCGCGCGCTCTCTCTTGCACACACACACACACACGCGCGCGCGCGCGTGACACACACGTGAAGGCGCGCGCGCGCGCGGGCGAGCGTCCTCCGACCCTTCTCGCTTACCTCCACCCCCGGATGCGAGTATCTGCGAATGTCCGTCACCAGGCGACGCACCGCCTCACACCCCGCTTCTTATCAGCATCGCGATCGCGAACGTCATCGAGCGAACTGTACGTAATCGCGGGGATACACAAACACGCACACACACGACGGCGCGTTCGAGTAGGTAGGTAGGACAGCTGAGGAGCCGTCAAGTGCCCCATCGATGGTTTTCTCACTCTGTCTCGCTCGCTCTTCCTTCTCTCCGTTACATTCGGGGCATCGCCGCGCGCGCACTCGCGCGTACCTCGATCCGGAACTCGCGCGTGTCAACGTCACCCCGGGCCGCGGGACGGACCCCCGCGTCGGACTCGCGCGACGTTAGCCGCGAACCGTGCCAGCCGGAGAGTGCGAAAACTCCTGGGCTAGCCTACCCCATCGACGACAACAACAAATATGGCGAGAGCGTACACCACCTCCCGCACGTTTGCTGCTGCGACTGCCGACTGAGCGGCAGATGGCGCTGCGCGCCTCCCCATCCCCACTCCTCCGCCGGGAGTCGCGTGCGGTCGTCGCTCCTCGGCCGTTTCCGCCGACGTCTTCGAGTTCCCGCGTTCCGGCTACCTGTCACTTTCGAATCTTCCCGCGGCCTCGAAACGATACATTGTTGTATTTGGGTCTGTTCCTTTTAGCTGCACTGCCACACTAGTGCGATAAGTTGAAGAGAGACAAACATACTTTCTTTCACTCTAATTAATTGCACTAGTGCAGCAGTGCGAATAGAAAGAACAGGCTCTTTGTCTCTTAGGCCCAGTTCCACAATCCAGTTAATCCGAGTTTAAGTAGCAAATGGACCAATCAGGACCCAGTTTAACGTATTAAACTCGAGTTAATCCGAGTTTAATACGTTAAACTGGGTCCTGATCGGTCCATTCACTACTTAAACTCGGATTAACTAAATTGTGGAACTGGGCCTTAAGCCTCTTGCATAATGCTAGGCAGCAGGCAGTAAGAACAGAAATAATATCTATTCTCTGTTCCTATTGGCGAATATTTTCTGTTCCGCGTGTTTATTGGTGAATAGTTTCTATTCCTTATTTCTATTGCCTGTTGCCTAGCATTGTGCAAAGAGCTTTATTTCAAGAATGGAATAGGAAAAGCCTTTTCCTTTCCCTTTACATTCGAGATTATATTAAGGATGTTTTGTATGTACAATCCCAGCAAATAGTAGCTGAAAATCAATATTGACTCTATCACTGAATATCCACTGTATTTGTGTATTTTGAGTATGAGAAATTGTGTGGAATATTAGGCCGGGTCTACAATAGACAATTTAAGACCTAAGTCTTAAGAAATTGACCAATCACAGTCGAGTATGAAGAGAATACTCGACTGTGATTGGTCAATTTCTTAAGGCTTAAGGCTTAAATTATCGATTATAGATTCGGCCTTACACGTTATCTACAATGGCAATAGGATTAATGGATTAAAGCTGTAACTTAAGGAATTGACCAATCACAGTCAAGCATTAAGAGAATACTCGACTGTGATTGGTCAATTCTGGAGTTTACAGCTTTAATCCATTAATCCTACTGCTGTTGTAGACGACGCTTTACAATTTGATCTTAGCTACAGTGCAGAGATGTATTTTTTAATATTTATTGCGTTTTTACTGAAATATTCCGAATTTTGTTAATCGAAATGATTAACTTTTGGTAGAGAATTTCTCCTTGTGACAGATACATGGCTAACTTCATTGAATTATATTTAATATCTTTTTAACCAGTTAGTACTTGTATAATATTATTTGACCAAATATTTCCTCTGTATCTAAACTTTTGCAAATTTTAAACAAATTCTGAATATTATTTTCATGTGTTTTTGTCATTTGAATCAACGTGGTTATCCGTTTCCCATAAGAACACATGTTAATTCGGTGCAAAATAAAATCCTTATACTTGTGAACGCTTTAGTAAATCGATTTAAAAATTGTACTGAAGATTCTAAACATATGTAAGGACATTCTGTACAATTTTCATGAAATTCTCAATATTTTGAAAATAGGTACAAAACATCCTTAAGAGAAGATTCTTTCAAATAGAATTTTCAAATTTGTTTTCTTTGGCTCATATTCTGAATCTTCTTTTATCGATAAAAGTGCCTCTAAAAGTCACATATAAGCCTTCTGATTGGCTACAGGCCACTTTTAAAAGCCCTTTTATCGATAAAAGAGGATTCAGAATATGGATCTTTGGCTGTATTATGTAAGAAAAGGATAGAAATGTGTCGCTAATCAGCGTTGATCAAGCAACATTATTGTGTCTGCAATTACTTAATTAAAAATGTAACAGTTTGTGGTCGAAGATAATATTATTTCTATCGAAAATATAATTATTACTTTATCAATTAGAATGCAATCCACGCTCGAAAGAAACATATCGGAGGGGCGCCACTGATCTGATACAAAGAAGTTTTCCAGCAAGAAAACAGATCAGCATTATAAAATTCTCTATTCGACAGCCAATCGCGTGACAGTTGACTGTCACGCGATTGGTTGTCGAATAGAGAATTTTTGTGATCCCGCAAATTTTTCTATCGAACAGCCAATCGTGTGACATTGTATTTATGTTTGTTTCTTGCTGAAAAGCTTTCCAAAGTAGATGTCTCTTTTGAAGATCGTCGCATTTCGCGCCATTCCGAGTTATTGCTGAAGAAATAAAAAGTTAATAAGGATTGTTGGAATACTGATTAATTATTAGGTGTCATTTCATACAACAGGAATAAAAGATGTCAGAGTCTTCCAATGAACACTTGGATCCGGAAGATACTATTAATATCTTGGTAGCTACCGATATTCATCTCGGTTTCGATTACAGTAAAAAGAGAGGTTTGTTTTTACGACGAATATTTTCGGCCTCAAGTACTGTCGCAAATAAAGAAACCTGATAAGAAGCGAATTTGAAATTAATATTGCATCATTAATGTAATAATTCCACAATTATTACAAAGTATCATATTATCTTTTCTTAAAGGTGGACAATCCGACGACAGTTTCATTACGTTCGAAGAAATATTGAAGTATGGCAAGGAAAAAGAAGTCGATTTTATTTTGCTGGGCGGAGATCTGTTTCATGATACTAAACCAACGCAAACTGCGATGCTCAAGTGTGTGGAATTGTTGAGGAAATATTGCTTAGGTAGCAGGTCAGTATTTGAAATGAGCTATAAAAGAATTAAAAATGATGTATATAATGTATGTTATATTTCAGAGAATGCAAGCTGGAATTTTTGAGTGATTCAGAATTAGTATTTCGACACTGTGCGCAAAAGCATGTAAATTATGAAGATCAAAATTTAAATGTCTCGATGCCAGTATTCACTATCCATGGAAATCACGATGATCCAAGTGTGTTTAATATGTATTTATACGTATATGTGTATTAATATATTTTATATATATGTATTAATATGTATTTATATAAATTATATCTTTAGAATGAATATTTATACATATTTTGCATTCTATTAGGTTTTGGTACTGTTGGCTCGATGGATGTATTATCAGCTACTGGACTTGTAAATTACTTTGGAAAGTGGACAGATCTTACTCGTGTAATTATATCTCCTATAGTTCTAAAGAAACGTAATACACATGTTGCACTTTATGGCTTGAGTTATATTAATGACCAGAGATTATCTAGATTATATAGGGATGAGAAGGTATTTATTTCAAATATATATCTTTGTCCTATTATAACATTTAATGTTGATGATAATTTTACGTCTGGTTTATTTAAAAACAGGTGGAATTGTTACGTCCAAAGGACATAGAGCCTTTCAACATATTTGTTTTACATCAGAATCGTGTTAAGCATAGTAATTATGCTTATATATCAGAAAATAGACTGCATAAATTCCTCAATTTAGTTATTTGGGGTCATGAACATGAATGCCGTATTAATGCTGAATTAAATGTAGAAGGTAGCTACTACATTTCTCAACCAGGTAAATTAACATATGTTTCTTTTTGAATTTATATTTGGACAGTGTAATATTTCAGAAATTATATAAAATATGAAATATAAACTTTAAATAATATAATTTTTAGGAAGCTCTATTGCCACCTCTTTATGTGAAGGTGAATCAAAACCTAAACATGTGGGTCTTTTAAAAATAAATAAAAATAATTTCAAAATGAAACCTTTGAAATTAAAAAGTGTCCGACCATATATCTTTGAAAACTTGATTCTTAGTGATCATGACATTAAAATACATGATTGTATTTCATTAGCTGACTCTGTAAGTCAATATGTAGATCGATATATTGAAAATGAGCTTATGCCTAAAGTTGCTAAGCAACTCACAGGTATGTTAATTAGTTTATTGAATATATTTATTATTGTATATATCTATTATTTATTGAAAATGTGATATTATAGGATACCCTAATCAACCAAGTCAACCTTTGATTCGATTAAGAATATTTTATAATGATGACAATGAACAATTTGATACATTAAGGTTTGAAAATGTTATGTTAATTTTATTATATTATTATACTTTTTGCCTTTACTTGCATTTTCAAAGAAAAAAATACATTTTTCTTGTACTTTAGTTTGGCACAAAAATACTGTGATGAAGTTGCCAATCCAATGGAGATGATTATATTTCGTAAAATGAAAAGTGGAGAAAAATCAAAACGCTTTAATGATGAAATTGATGATTTGGATGATATTACAGAATTATTTCAAGCAGATGTAAAAAAATGCACTTTGTTTTCATTGAACAAATTTTGCTTCATATCTTAATAATATTAATTAGATTTCTTTCTATAGATAGGACAGGATTGGATTAGTACAGTACCAGGAGGGATCAAGAAATATTTTGATATGGAAGAAAACAAAGATAAATTAACAGTATTGACTGTAACAGCATTAAATGAAGCATTAAATCGATATGTTGATCGAGGTGACATAGAAGCTTTTAGAAATATAGTGAGGTGATTATATAGTGATTATTTATTTTTAGAATTTTAACTATTTTTCACCTATATATCTCTAAATTGTCTTATTTTTGTTTGTTAGTGATCAAATGAAAAGAACCATTGAATATGTAAAAGCACAAAATAGTGAGAAACCGGAAGACATCCGTAATGAAATTATAAATTTCCGCAATAAAAGAGTTTCAGAAGAACAAGAGGAGCAGAGTAATGTAAATAATATTTAAGATGTTTATTTGCATTGTAATATATATTTTTAACTTTGAATTTGTTTACAGGTCCTAAGGGCATTAAATAATCCAGTACAGACGAATGCTAAAAATGTTAAACAATCTCACAATGTTGTAAGTGACAGTGATGACGATGATTTAAATTCAAGATCATCGACGACTAAAACTAGAGGAAGAGGCAGAGGTTCTAGAGGTGGCAGAGGATCCAGAGGAAGTCGTGGTGGAGCAAAAGCTAATGAAGGAAATAGTTCCATTACAAGAATGCTGGTATAAATACTATAAAAATATATTATTGTTAATTATTATATATTTATAATGAAGAAAAAAAGTTATATTTTATAATTTTTTCTTAAGAGTTCCAGGAGTGCACAACCAAAACGAACAACTTGCGATCCTATTATTATAGATGATTCCGATTAATTATTAATTATTAATTATATTAACTATCCATAAGAAAATATATATATATGAAAACATGTATTTTTTTATGTATGAAAATAAATATTATTTTATATTTAAAATATAAAGTTCAATAAAAATCTGCATTTTTACAATGGTTTTTTTTTTCATATAAAAAAAATATGAAAAATTACCAGTGTAAATATATTTGACCTGATCTTTTTTTTTATCTGATTTATGCCGTTGAATATGGAATATTTCGCTAGATACGCAATTAAATGCTCAATTATTTTGCGCATGCGCAGTCTGTTTTGTCCAACAAAAAGGCGTGTTGCTCTACTGCATATGCTATATTGTTTGTGCCTGAAGCGTTCTTTCATGGTTCCTGTGTTAACCTTACATGACGGGAAGTTTTAAGCTCACGCAAATATAATTTGCAGGTATTTGATAGCAAATATTTACGCAGTAAAAATATTAAGTTGAATTTGTAAAAAAAATATTTATAAATAAATTACAACTTTGGAATTGCTTTACATCCGGCAGAACGCTTGGATGTAACCGGATGAATTTTCATGACCTGAATTGTGTTTTTTCTTCTATTGCATATGACAAACTTAGAATCTATCTCGATTATTTATACAAATGTTTTTGTAAAAAAAAGACAGAAAGGAAAAATAAATAGCAAAATAGACGATTAAATAGTCGATTAAATAATTGAATCCGTGCAATTTTTGTAGAAATGCCGCCAAAAAGAGGAAAAGTACAGAAGGAGGAGGTCCAAGTTTCCCTTGGACCGCAACTTCGTGAAGGAGAGGTAGTTTTTGGAGTTGCCCACATCTTCGCCAGCTTCAATGATACATTTGTACATGTCACTGATTTATCCGGCAGGTTTGTACCATGTTAAAATATATTGATTATACTTTGCAGCTAGAAGTACAAATTTAGTATTTTATAATATAAAATATATTATTATAACTTAATATATAATTAATATATAATTGTGTCTTTGATTCATGCAGGGAAACAATCGCTAGAGTTACTGGTGGCATGAAAGTGAAAGCGGATCGTGATGAAGCCTCACCCTATGCAGCTATGCTTGCAGCTCAGGTATATATTTGATATAATTATTATATTCGAATTAAGTACAGAAAATTAGCATTTCATATATTATATTACCCACATTCAGGCAGCTACCTAGATAATAAATCTTATTTGAGTAGCGTTCATGTTTGTGGAAAAATAAATTCTTTTTATTAATTGAGAACATATGTTTATGTATCATATGCTCTTCTCTAAATAAAAAAAGAAAACATTCATAAATATGTAATATTGTATATTTTATATAATATTACATAAGGAGATTAAAATATGCACAACATATATGAAAATTTTAATCATGAAATAATTTTGTATTTTACAGGATGTTGCAGAAAAGTGTAAATCACTAGGTATTACAGCACTGCACATCAAATTAAGAGCTACGGGAGGTAATAAGACAAAGACCCCTGGTCCTGGTGCACAATCTGCTTTGCGTGCTCTAGCTCGTTCGAGCATGAAAATTGGACGTATCGAAGATGTTACTCCTATTCCTTCAGATTCTACGCGCAGGAAAGGTGGTCGCCGCGGACGCAGACTCTAACTCATTATGGTGCTCTATATTTCATTTATCTTTCAATAAATATTTAGAGAAAGAAATAGTGAATTCATGAAGCATATAGCCTTTCTTTCTAATTCCTCTACATATAAAAACTGCATATGTTATTGTATATTTTTTTATTGCACTACAATAACAACATAGATGCAATTATACAGATTAACATGAGAAAAGCATTTTCTTAGAATATAAATTATAAAAAAAAATTAGAAAATTGATATTAGATTTTGTGTCATTAATATATATATATATATATAGCTTAAGATAACAAAATAATACAATAAAGTATTAATATTTAAATATTTTAATATCTTTAATATTGAGATAATTTGACTATTGACAAAAGTATACATATAAAGCATATGAATATATTTATATCGTGATGAAAAAAATTATGCTTTGTCAACTAACTGGCCAACATTAAGATACAATTTAACCTTTACGTCCACTTTTTGAGGTGATTTATGTTCTAGTGCTGCAATAGTATTCACATATCCGTGTTGCATAACAAATCCAACTATAACTGGTTCCTCATTATTTTCATTAGTATCATTTGGAATTACATGTAGACGAATCACAGCTTTGTTTCCTTTTCGCCATACTACGAGTCTAAAAAAAAAATTGTGTAAATGAAACTCAAATCATGTGTTTAAAATAGTTCAAAATTTTTATATTTTACATACTTTGGATCATCCTGAAAATTATGATTATCACTGGTATCATCATATTCAGCAGCATCGTCTCTTGGCGGAAGGATCAATGCACTGTGAGGCAGTATTAAATCTGCATTTGGTATGATTTTTATTGGCTTAGGATCCTCTGTTACGGGCACCTGCCGTACAGTAGACGGCAATAAACTTGGAGATTCGCTTCCCTATTATAATCTCAATTTATTAGGATGTACTATTTGTGTTTGTCATATGATATATATATAAAATTTTTTTAATAAAATAATTTTATATATATATATATATATATATATATATAAAATTTTAGATATTACTTGCTGCATGTCTTCTTGTTTAAGATCTTTTTCCTTAATAAATGAAGTAGATAACGAGGTATCTAACGGCAATATAGTTATTTGAGTCTGATGCTGTGTTGGATTGCAGAATTTTAAAAGCAATTCACTTGATTTTCCTGGCTGAAGTGGCTCACAAGTAACAATTTTTACTTCTGGAATATGATAACTAAAAAAATATATTTTGATTATTATATATATATGAATTATTATATAATATGAATTATTATATACATGAATGTATATGATATAAATCAAAATTATCCTGTAATATTAATAATTTATCATTTATAAATCAAAATAATTAATTTAAAATAATAATTTTTAAAATAATAATAATTAATTTAAAATAATAATTTATTACAATAATTAATTAATTTAAAATAATTTATCATTTATAAATCAAATTTATCCTGTAATATTAATAATTTATCTCTTAACATAATTCTTACAATGCAGCTAGTAAAATCTTGAACTTTATAGATTGAGGACAGAGATCTGATTTGCTGACATTATGTTCACACACTCTGCAACGTTGTGACCTTTTAACTAAAAACTGTCTATGTTGTGGACGTAACTCGTTTATCTTTTCAGCTTGCACTTCTGGATGTTGTAATCTTTGTTCCAATGTTGTAACTACAAATTTATGTACATATAATTAAGATGAAATTTTTATGTATTTACGCTGCTATTTTACAAAAATTGCAAACTTTCTTACTTTTAGTTATATCTATAGGTTCTGTAAATATATCCTCTGATAATTCTTCTATTTCCTCAGTTGCAATAGATGATACTGGTTGAGCAGTCGATTGAGATTGCATTGGTGGTTTTAAGGGACGTCCAATACGTTTACGAAGCAATGTGGATGTAAAACTATACATAGTCTGCTATTGACAAGCAATAGTTAGAAAAATATCTTTGCAAAAATGTATAATCAATTTTTGTCAAACTCACAGTTGGCATAAAAGGACGTTTTGGATGAAATTTCTTCCTTTCACATTGTTGTTTCTCTATTGAAGCTAATATTTTATGATAATCAATAAGAGCATTAATGCGTGTTGTATGTGGATTTTCTTGTTCAGGCCATCCTCCAGTTGCTATAAGTAAAAATTCAAGATGTTTCATAAGTAATTCATTCAAGATATATTATAAAGTTCTATAATTAAATCATTTTAAATTTTTATATGTATATATATATTAAATTTTCTTACCCACAGATTGATCAGGTATCCCAGCATCTCGAGAACTCCATCGGCACAATGAACAAAACAAATAATATACTTTTTTAGGAGTAGCTTTAACATCCTTATTTTCTTCTCCTTCTGTTGCTTTCATAGTTGCAGCTAGTCCTGCTCTTGTAGATAATGTTTGAAAGCAACAAGGGCAATCGAAGCAATTAGAACATCTGTCAACATATTATCATTAGTATCACGATATTATTTTTAATCAGGGTTGGGTAATAACTAGTTGATTAGTTAAAAGTTAAAAAGTTAATAATTTTTAACTCAACTTAGTTATTTTAAAAAGAGTTAACTTTTAACTTTAACTAGTTATTTTTAAAACACATAAATTTAAACTTATTAACTTTCCCCCCAAATTTATTTGATCATTCATATTATTATTATTTAGAGTTTAATTTTAAAATTACAATCTAATTTAATATAAAGTGAAATAATGCTTTTCAAAATTTTAACTTTTATCTTAACTAATGTTAATTTAATCTTAACGTAACTTTTATTGAGTTAATTTTTTATTTGTATAACTTTTAACATAACTAAATTAATTTTTTAACCCAATTTTAACTTAATTTAGTTTAAAAAAATATAAAACTTACCCAACACTGTTTTTAATGTATGTAAAATTTAAAATATACAAACGTACTTGTTCTTTTTAAGACGTACTTCAGATGAGGGCAAATTTTCCATACAATTTGGACAGTAGTGGGAATCCACCTGAATAATAAAGAAAGCTTTCTTTTATGGAAAATATATGATATACTTTGCACACATTGAAAATTATGTTCTCTATAATAAATACATAATAAAATACATAATAAATAAATAATAAATACATAATAATTGAAAATTATGTTCACATAATAAATACATAATAAAATACATAATAAAAAATCAATTATTATATATATATTTTTTTTTTCAATTATATTTTATTAGGACTTGCTCATAGATTTTAAGAGACACACCTTTTGACAGACACAGTAGCCGCATCGTATCATTAAGCAATGTCGACAAAAATATATTTTTGATATAGGCTTTAATGAGCCACAGTTGCACACATAACGCACATAATCTGGTTGATTTAAATAAGTCATACTGGAATAAACAGTCTAAAAGTTTATGAGATAAAAGAACAGAAATGTCACACACTGTGTGAATATTTCTTTTCTATAGTTTGATAATCTCACAGTGCTTAACCATTTTCTCCTCAAAATGTCAGTCAGTCAGTCAGATGGCAGATGCTTTGGGTGACATTACATTAATACGTCAAAATGTTTGTCGGATATATGATTGGCTGTTAGATAGGGAATTCTCAGATCTCGATAGAGACTCTAGAAATTCCCTAGCCAACAGCCAATCGTTACATTCGACAAACATTTTGTCGTATGAATGTAATCTCACCCATATGAAAGTATTTGACGTAACGATGACGTTTATAAAACGCATAAATGGAGCCTTTTACGAGAAGCTGATGATGGAAAGGTATGCTTATATAAATGATTAATGTGTTAGAATACTATACCTACATATTAAATAGAGAATCTACGTATTAAAGAATATCCATACATATATATATATATATATTTTATATAAATATAAAATATAAATATAATAAAATATAAATAAAATTATATATAAATATAAAATATATATTTAATATATTATATTAAATATAAAATATAAATTATATTTTAATAATTATTGATCAGACATTTTTTTTCTCAATGCTTATCAAATATTGAGTTTAAAAATAAATTATTAAATTATTAAATAATTAAATAAAATTAATTAAATTTAATATCAATTGTGTGTAATATTATTTAACATAAATTAATATTATATTTAATAATATTATAATATATTATTATAATATTATAATAATTTTATAATATTATTTAAATTTGATTATTTAATCATTTTATATTATAACGTGTATATGTGATAAAAGATCAAAATAATTTTACAAATTACATACATATTTACTACATTGATTTATGCTCACATGTCATCGCGTGGAACCATATGGAGAAAAATCACTCGTCAATATATTACTTTTAATCTCGAAATTATAATTATTCACCGCTTATACAGTTTATATTATTATATTTTTTATTATTTATATTATTTTATTATTTATATTATATTTATTATTTATACATTTTATATTATTATATTTTTTATTATTTATATTATTTAATATATTATTACTACTTTCTCGTCCTTCTGTCTATTTAATCTTTTTATTCCGGAAGTACACATGCGGATGAAAGTAGAAGGATTAGTGAGTGTACGGCCATGAAGTATCATCACGCGATGGTATGTCGAGTATAAATCCAACCAAGCGTATAGAGCAGCTGATAATTGCAGTGTGTGCTGTACAAAGAGCTTGGAGATGTAGTAAGAGAATAGAATATCTGTCGGAGGCAAGCGACATCGATTAGAAAATATTTTCCTATTATTTTTGCAGATGCGCACCAATCGAGAAATCGTAGGAATCCAGCTATAGCCAAGACTTCCTGTGCGTTACACAGCCAAGACGATATGGCAATTGCAGCCGCAAAAAATTTCTCTGGACAACCACGGATCATTCTGGCGAGAAAGAGAGAAGGGCGACGATCACGTGAGTAAAGAGTGAAAGTTATAGCTTGTGTACCGCTACAATCTTCGTATAATAGAAGATGATCGATTCATAATTAAACGTTTATGTTTTCAAGATGAAACTTTATTCCTAATTTTCTAGTCAGTCGAGCTCATCGTCGTGCAAATAATTATGCGAATATATTATAGTGCATGTTAC